TAATAACAACAACAAAAACAAATAGTCATATGCTGTTAAGATACAATACCCCCACCCACTGACTTTTCGGATGCATGCCCTGCATTGGTGTCGTTTTGTAATATGAAGTATGAGGGTAGTGTGGAAAGGTTCGGGAGGTATGTTTTAATATAAATTTAGAAGATTAGTAATATCGATAATAATTACAGATCTAGGCGATATTATAATAGCAAACACAAAGGCTCTTCAAGATCTAGTAGAGCTTTAACCAGGGAGTAACAAATATGTCCAATGCCCGAAAGAAGAAGTGAATTTTTCAAGGAATGTGAACTCTAGCGTGGATTTTTTAAAGAATATTTTTTCAAGACCTAACTAGGCGTGGATTTTTTAAGAATATTTTTTCAAGACCTAACTAGGCGTGGATTTTTTAAAGAATATTTTTTCAAGACCTAACTAGGCGTGGATTTTTTAAAGAATCTTTTTTCAAGATCTAACTAGGCGTCGATTTTTTAAAGAATATTTGTTCAAAACCTACCTAGGCGTAGATTTTTTTAAATAATATTTTTTCAAGACCTACCTAGGCGTAGATTTTTTTAAAGAATATTTTTTCAAGACCTACCTAGGCTTGGATTTTTTAAAGAATATTTTTTCAAGACCTACCTAGGCGTGGATTTTTAAAAGAAAACATTTTTTCAAGACCTACCTAGGCGTGGATTTTTTAAAAAAAATATTTTTTCAAGACCTACCTATGCGTGGATTTTTTAAGGAATATTTAAAGCTTCAGCTAGTCTCTATAAAGACTCCCTTCAGCTAGTCTATTTAAATAATCCCTTCAGCTAGTCTCTGTAAAGACTCCCTTCAGCTAGTCTCTGTAAAGACTCCCTCTCTATAAAGACTCCCTTCAGCTAGTCTCTATAAAGACTCTCTTCAGCTAGTCTCTATAAAGACTCCCTTCAACTTGACTCTAAATACTACGTCCGTCTCGTCTGTTAACTCCCTTCAACTAGTCTCTAAGAACTCCCTTCAACTTGACTCTAGATACTCCAAACGTCTCGTCTGTTAAATCCCTTCAGCTAGTCTCTAAAGACTCCCTTCAACTCGTCTCTAAAGACTCTCTTCAGCTCGTCTCTAAAGACTCCCTTCATCTCGTCTCTAAAGACTCCCTTCAGCTCGTCTATGAAAGACTCTCTTCAGCCGTCTATGAAAGACTCCCGTCAGCTCTTCTATGAAAGACTCCCATCAGCTCGTCTATAAAGACTCCATTTAGCTTGTTTATACACAGATTATTCATCTCGACTGCCTCCTAATCCCGTCATGATTCATCTCACATGATTTGATTTATTTTTCTTTTGTAAAATACAACAGACCTCCACAATGTTCTAATTGCTATTCTCACTAAATTAGTTTAGAACAAAATTTATGTCAATGCAAAAATAAAGCTGCTAATTATTTGCAGCAGCAGCATATGAGAAGCCATGTAAACAAAGATGTTGTTGTTTATAATAATTTGTTTTTGTATATTTCTAGAAGAAGGAACACAAAAACAAGAACAACGACAAACAAATCATAAAATACACAGAGAATTTATTTAAACGAAAGATACAATTAAAGATTAGAATAACAACAGACCGGCCAATGAAATATTATTATGATGTGAGGCTATTCTGGAGAGCTGCTTCTTATCTGGAGGGGAAGCAAGCTATGATGCAATATATAATACAAGAAAGAAATTAAATTAAATATAAAATATTTTGAAATTAATTGATATGCATTTTTTACAGAGGCTCGCTCTGTGTTGGATGGTAAATCCATTTATTTATATATTTCATCATGCTGCCAACCCATGCACTTGATGGGTGCAATAACCATTGCAGTAGCTGGCCAGCCAGACAGACAGTCGGGTCTCTTATCCTCTCTTCAGTTTTCACAAACACAATTGGCAATTATTGTATTCATTCGTCAACACAATTAGCTAAACAATCATTCTTCGTCTTTTTTCTTTTGTTGGCAGCAATTAATCAAAATTGGTATTTTATTTCTATAGCGAAAATAGCGCCGCAATACCAACCTATTCATTGTTTGATTATATATATATGTATATATATACATATATATAGAATATTTATGTATTTATTTTCCTTAATTGATAATAACTTGGAAAATAATGAATTGTTGTTTTCTATATTTTATTTTTATTTTAAAGTACTCACTAACTCCATTGCACGATTTATTTTAGATAGTTTAATGAAAATTGAAAATTTTCCTTTCGTCACGTGTAAAAATTGAAGATAGCAGTGGCATTTTTTCTCCCACCATAGTCACTATTATCAGTTTATAGGCCTTATTAAATATTGATTGTTTCGAACGCAATTCAATCAATTCAATCGAAAGAGGCTTGAACATTTCAATTCAATTAATGATAACAATTTTGTAGTGTCGTTGTTTGTTGTTTTTATTGTTAATATTTCTATATAACATAGTGTCTGCTTAGATGGAGGATTCAATGACCAGTAATAATGATGAGGGGTTTGATGATAATCGTTGAATTTTTATTGGCTTAATTTATTTCACTGACATTTAGTGTAAATGGTTTTAATATTGATATCAACATTTTTGTTTTTATAAATAATTTATTAACAAATTATTTTTCTAATTATAGAATTTATACGAGGCAACAAAAAGATATATGAGGAATTCCATATATATTTCAATAAGACATACCAACTTCATTATTAGATCAATTTATTTGCATCTGAAATTAAAAATGAAATGATGATTTTTAAAGACTATTTTTCATGGCCTACCAAATACGTGGATTCTATATAATATATTCTCACGGTCCAAGCGAAGTCGTGGATTTGAAAAAGAACAATTTTGAAGGGCTAGAAAAGCGGTGATGATTTCTTCAAGAGCCGTGGATTTTTTTTAAATTCATTCTTCAAGTCAAAGCAAGGCGTGTATTTTTCAAAAAAAAAAAAAAAAAAATAATCACGTCATAGGAGAGCCTTGATTTTTTTTAAAAATTAGTTTTTCGAATTATCGCAAATCCTGGTCTTAAAAAATATGTTTTCAATTTATAGCAAGGCAGGATATTGGATTTTTTTAAATATAACAAGGCATGGATTTTTAAAAAAAATTTTTTTCAGCTCGTCTATAAAGTCTCCCTTCAGCTCGTCTAAAAAAACTCTCTTCAGCTCGTCTAAAAAAACTCCCTTCAGCTCGTCTATAAAGACTCCCCTCAGGTCATCTATAAAGTCTCCCCCTTCAGCTCGTCTATAAAGACTCCCGTTCAGCTCGTCTATAAAGACTCCCGTTCAGCTCGTCTATAAAGACTCCCGTTCAGCTCGTCTATAAAGACTCCCGTTCAGCTCGTCTATAAAGACTCCCGTTCAGCTCGTCTATAGAGACTCGCTTCAGCTCGTCTATAGAGACTCCCTTCAGCTGGTCTATAAAGACTCCCTTCAGCTGGTCTATAAAGACTCCCTTCAGCTCGTCTATAAAGACTCCCTTCAGCTCGTCTATAAAGACTCCCTTCAGCTCGTCTATAAAGACTCCCTTCAGCTCGTCTATAAAGACTCCCTTCAGCTCGTCTATAAAGACTCCCTTCAGCTCGTCTATAAAGACTCCCTTCAGCTCGTCTATAAAGACTCCCTTCAGCTCGTCTATAAAGACTCCCTTCAGCTCGTCTATAAAGACTCCCTTCAGCTCGTCTATAAAGACTCCCTTCAGCTCGTCTATAAAGACTCCCTTCAGCTCGTCTATAAAGACTCCCTTCAGCTCGTCTATAAAGACTCCCTTCAGCTCGTCTATAAAGACTCCCTTCAGCTCGTCTATAAAGACTCCCTTCAGCTCGTCTATAAAGACTCCCTTCAGCTCGTCTATAAAGACTCCCTTCAGCTCGTCTATAAAGACTCCCTTCAGCTCGTCTATAAAGACTCCCTTCAGCTCGTCTATAAAGACTCCCTTCATCTCGTCTATAAAGACTCCCTTCAGCTCGTCTATGAAGACTCCCTTCAGCTCGTCTATGAAGACTCCCTTCAGCTCGTCTATAAAGACTCCCTTCTTCTTCTCGTAAGATTTAGAAATGTTCTGTTGTTGTTGTTGTAGCAGCCCTATTGCTTTTACACAATGGGCTGAGGTGACAGACGTTGGCCGAGTAAGACTTAGGTCGCCTCGGATCGTAAAAATGTTCTGTTGCTTCGTTTGTTGCAAATATTTAAATTTATGCAGTTTTTGTATTTCAATGTCATCGTTGGTAATTTTTTTTTTTTACCCGACAATCAAAATCAATAAATTAACTACATTATGGAAGGACATTGAGGACATGTGAATTAAACGCTCGTACATACTGACCCTTTACTACACAATAAAGATGCTAATGTTTCCTTTTTTCTTCTTCCTCCTTTCAATTTCTCATTTAGAATTCATATGGCATATTAATTGCTGGTGCTGCCGTCATTATTAAAGGAGGAGCTGTTGCGGAAGGGCGGACAACAAATTGGCATACTATTCCATTCTATTCTATTCTTCTTATCAAATGACAATTGCCCATTGTTGCTGCGACGATTATTAGTCAAGAAAGTGTTCTGCTGTTGTTGCTGCTGGTTGGGGTGCCTTTGCAAAGTGATAAAATTTCAAGTCCTCTCTGCCACCCCCGCCCCCAACCCTCATCGAACAACTTAATCAAATAGAAGGCGGCATATTAAAGACGTCATTTGCGTTAAACGAACGGGGTGGTGTTGTAAATATTTGTGACCCCCCAACCAAAGACCAACAATTTTTGTGCAGTCAATTCCAATGGAAGACAAATATTGAAAGGGGCAACAACAACAGACACCAAGGAGATCAACCAAACAAAAAACATGAAGTCCATACCAGGCCGTCTTCTACCAACCAGAAATATTGTTTAAACAAAAATATCAAGTAAACGAAAGAAGACCCCACAAAAACGGCGGGCAGAACATTATTCACAAAATTGCGTATTTTCTTTTTGTCCAAACAAGGAGTCAAAATACCGACAACAACCACAACACCAACAAAATGCTAACCCGAACACAAAAATTAATCTTGGGTGTTACCATACTCATAATGGTCAATGTGATATGGGTAACCTCCAGCGAATTGACAAAGGTAATTTCGAATTGAGTACTTTAATTTTGAATTTGAATAAATTGTTTGTTTTTTTCGATTTTTTCAGTTTCTCTACGACGATGAACACTTTGATAAGCCCTTCTTTTGCACATATTTTAAAACATCGATGTTTACAATTTATTTAGTAATCATTGGTTTGCTAGCACCCTGGAAGGAATCCTGTGATAGACAAAATGGCAACTATTCGGTAAGATAATTTTTATATATCGTTTTTTTTTTTTAAGAGCAAAAGGAAGTTTTATAGCAGACAAGGATGGATTTATATGCCGGCAGAAAATGGTCTTTATAGGTCAACTGAAGGTGGTCATATAGACAAGTTGAAACGAATTTTTATAGAGCTGAACGTCGGGCCTTTAAATGTGAGCTATAGATCGGGGCTTTATATGCGAGCTGAAGGTCGGGGTTTGGAGGCGAGCTGAAGATCGGGGCTTTATAGGCGAGCTGATGGTCGGCTTTTTAGGCGAGCTGAAGGTCGGGTTTATAGGCAAGCTAAAGGTCGGCTTTATAGACGAGCTGAAGGTTGGGTTTATAGCCAAGTTGAAGCCAATTCAAATATTCAAATAAATTTGAATATATATATATATATATAAGAAGCAATGGATTTTTGAAAATATTCAATATTATTATAATATTTCCTATTTTTTCCCTTTTCAGATGATGGATCAAAATTCCGAAGATGACAATTACTACTCCCACCAACCATCATTGGTAAGATGATTTTATCAATTTTATCAATTTCGTTATTAAAAAAAATGTATTAAAATTTCTTATTATCCTCAGAGTGATCCCACATTCGTTCCCATTCGCTCGGCAGCTAGTATCGGTAATGGTCCCATTTCCGGTACCGAAAGTGATGATTCCAGTATACGGTCAGTGCGTTTTAGTAAATTGGCCGAAGTGCGGGAAATGTCAGCACATGAGGCAACAGAGGCCCTAATGGCCAGACTCTCTTATACGGCCAGTATGCGTATAAGTCGTCAAAAGTCGCATCATAAAACAGCCAAAACGGCATTGCTGTTTTGTGTTTTGGTAAATAATACTCAATAGATTTTTCGATTTTGAAAATTGATATTAAATTTTTGGTTTCGTTTTTCAGTGGTTCTTGGCCAATTATCTCTTTCAAGTCTCATTGGAAATGACTGAAACAGCAGTGGTGACTTTATTATCATCCTCCTCGTCCCTATTCACCTTGGTGTTGGCAGCATTTTTCCCCTCAGCAACGGGTGATAAATTTACCATAACAAAAATTATTGCAGTGGGTTTGAATATTGCTGGGGTGGTAAGTATAAATATTTTTTTCCTATGTTGTTTTCCTTTTAATTAAATTGTTTTTTTTTTTTCATTTCAGGTCACAATAACAATTTCCGATATCCATGATACGAATTTTTCCCGTGGTGCTTTGTTGGCCTTGTTTAGTGCATTCTTCTATGCTGCCTATTTGGTGTTTGTCAAAAGAAAAAGTGACACAGAGGAGAAAATCGATATTCCATTATTTTTTGGTAAGCCGCCTTTGGGAAGATTTGTGAATTATTCTCATTATTAATTTTTTGTATTTCATTTGAATACAGGATTTGTGGGCCTTTGGAATCTTTTGTTGATGTGGCCAGTATTTTTCATATTGAATTTTACAAAAATCGAAAAATTCGAATTACCAAATCAAAATCAATTTGCCATTTTATTTTTAAATGGCCTAATTGGTACAGTGGTCTCTGAAGCCTTGTGGCTGTGGTAAGTTTTAGTGGAAATTTTTGAAAGAAAGTATTATAGAATATTTAACTTTTGAAGCTATAGCAAAGCGTAGATTTTTTTGAAAAATATATAGAGAAATATAGAGTCTATATAGACGAGCTGAAGGGAGTCTTTATAAACG